AGTAGACGTAGTACAGTAGTAGTAGTATCAGAGTACGTACAATAGTCATAGTCGTCGTCAAGTATTAGTATAGTCAGTCGTAGTAGTCAGTCGTAGTAGTAGTACTAGTTCGTAGTACAGTAGTAGTAGTAGTAGTTAGTAGTAGTATAGTTAGTAGTATTAGTAGTGTAATAGTAAGTAGTAGTAGTCGTAGTCCCGTAGTAGTAGAGTAGTCGATAGTAGTAGTAAGTAGTAGTAGTAGTAGTAGTAGTAGTTAGTAGTAGTAGTAAGTAGTAGTAGTAGTCGTAGTAATAGTAAGTAGGAGGGGAAGGAGGAGGAGGAGGAGGAGGAGGAGAACAAAAACGAGGGTGAGGAGGAGGAGGAGGAGTAGGAGGAGGAGGAGGAGGAGGCGGAGGCTCTGTTTCTCCTCTGAAGTATGGGGGGGCTCGGTGTTCCTGGCGCCCTTCCGCGGGTCCTCCCTGCCGCTCCTCATGCATCTGGGCGAAGCCGCGGTCCCCCCAAAGGGGGGCGTCGTTCCTCACCCAAGGCCCCTCGAGGGTGAGCCCTGGACTGTACGCGTCCTCCTCCTCCTCAGATCGTCGCTTGCGGGGCGAATCGAACCGAGAGGTGCGACGAGACTCCTCTTCCGGCACCCAAGCCTCCAGGCCGACGCTCACCTGGCCTCTCCTCCCCTCATTTCGTCCTTTCCCTTCCCTGCCCCGTCCTCCTGCCTCCTCAACTCGCCCTCCCTGCTCTCCACTCGTCGCCCTTCCGGTCTACTTTTCTTGCCTCTCAAGCTTGCCTCTCATCTCCTCTCCTCTCATCCACTGCTCCACTGCGTATTCTGTCCTCTCCTCTCCTCTTCCCCGCCACCCCTTCGGTTGCTGTGGAACACCACGTTGTCATGGCACACGACCGTGCCACGACGAATCGAACCCTCCACCCCGACCTGCAGGTGAAATCTAACAAAGGAGACAATAACCCTGCGGTCGCTCGAACTGCCCACCGGAAAAGGGGAACCGAAGAAGCGAGGATAACCCCCGGGCAATAACCCCCTAGAAGGGTCCAAACAACCCCACACCCTCCTTCCACTCCCATCCCTCCTCCGTCCTCCAAATCCTCTTTGTTATCCTCCGCTGAGGGCGAAGATAGACGAGAAGGCCGTCGTCGCAGCCGGCTTCGTCGCCGCCGCCGCCGTCCTGGCCGTCGTTGCCACCGCCATCGTCTTGGTGGCCGTCCTGGCAGAGGTCGTCGTGGTCGTGGTCGTCATTTTCCAGAGGAGGGCGGCTTGAGACAGCGGCGGCTCAAAATCCGCCCCGTCTGGCTTCCAAACAAACTAATTATCCGAGCTGCGTTCAGCCGACTGCCTTTGTGTCAGCTCGCCCTCCGCTGAGTTTTGGTGGTCGCCGTCGTCAAAGTGGTCCGAGTGGCAACGTCAGGCGGGGGCCCGCTCAGGGGGGGGGGGGGGAAGCGTCGAGTTCGAATCGGCGATGCATCGCCGATGGGTCGGCGGTCGGTCCCCTGGCGAATCCGCACGCTCCTGGGCAGGTTGGGGCAGGGAGGCCCCCTGTCGACCATGAATTGGGGGTCGAGGCGCCCCCCCCCCCGAGCCTGTCTCTCAAGCCGTGGCCGCCGCCGTCGCCACCGTGGCCGCCGCAGTCGCCGCCGCGCGCGCCCGAAGGGCGGCCAGGGCCAGCCGAGGCCGCCGCACGGCTGCGGCATCTGGGCCTCGAAGTCGAACGCATCGAGGTCCGCGCCGTCGCTGCGCGCGGCCCCGGGGGCCTTCCCCCGTGCCCCCTCCTCTTCGTTAGGGAACCGCTCCCAGGAGGTCTTTGCACGAAAGATACAGGGCGAGTAAAATCCCACCAGCCCTTTGGGCGACAGGTTGTCTAAGGAGGGTCTCTATCCTTTTCCACAACCCCTCTTCCCTTCGGGGAGGGGAGCCTCCCCCTCCGATCCCTGAGTTTTTTTTGTTTGGGGAGGGGTCGCGACGAGTTAGGGCTCCACTTTCGGCCCCTGTGAGGGCCAATGTTTGATACCTTTCACGAGGATCGTGGCCACCAAGGGGAAGGCGTAGATAATGAAATCCTCTCTTTTGATCGGCCGCCTCCAAGATGGCCCAGAGAGCGCCCCAAAAGGCCTCCAAGAGGCACCCGAGAGGCCCCCAAGAGGCCTCAGAGAGCCCAGGATGACCTCCAACATGACTCAGATAGCCCAAGCTGGCTCAAGATGGCTCTCAACATGCTCCAATCGGCCCCACGACCGCTCCAAGGCGGCTCGCCTCCCTCGCTGTGTGACTATGCGTGCCTCTTCCCCTCTCCCCCCGTCAGCTCTCATGGCCATCGTTTCTGGATGGGCTGGTGGGGATACTTTTTTGTTCGCAACCGCAAGCGGACAGCCGCGCGGCGTCGTGAAGTCGTGCGAAGAGGTCTGGTGGGGATACTTGTTGTTCGCAACCGCAAGCGGGCAGCCGCGCGGCGTCAACGATCAAAAGGAGCCAGGCCTAAGTGCAGGGCGAGCCTAAGCAACAGCTGGCAAGCGTGGCCAAAGAGGCCCCCGAGAAACCCCAAAGGTCCAAGAGGCTCCCAGGAAGCTCCCAGGAGGCCCCAAGAGTGTCCCCAAAGGCTTCCAAGATGCCCCCTCCTCCTCCTCCTCCCCCTCCTCCTCCTCCTTCTCCGTCTCCTCTTAATCTTCGAAGGGTTTCCACAATGGTTGGGGCAACACATGGCCCGATATACAAAGCTTTTGCCGCATCGCTCGGCCACATGGGCGATTCTAGACGGCGGGGGGCGGCGGTGATTCGCCGTAGGCGTCTTCGATCCGCCGCCCCCGGTTGATTCATCACAGGGGTGCCCGGCGTACTAGACCCTGTCGCTAACCCCCCCTGGGGCTTCGGCCCGTCCCGCCGGAGATGCGTAACAGGTGGTTGCAAAGGGTTTTTCGGCTCCAGACGACTCCACGATGGCCTTCAAGATGGTCAAGATGGCCCAAGATGGCCCAAGATGGCCTCGAAGACGGCCCAAGAGAGTCCAAGATGCCTCCAAGTTCGCACAAGAAACACCTAAGACAGCCTAAGATGGCGCAAAAGGCCTCCACGAGGCCTCCAAGACGGCCCAAGAGGGTATAGATCACCGGGGGCCTTGGCTACCCTAGGCCCTACCCAAGGCCCTAGGCTTCCCAAGGGTAGGCCCTACCCAAGGCCCTAGGCTTCCCAAGGGTAGGCCCTACCCAAGGCCCTAGGCTTCCCAATGGTAGGCCCTACCCAAGGCCCTAGGCTTCCCAAGGGTAGGCCCTACCCAAGGCCCTAGGCTTCCCAAGGGTAGGCCCTACCCAAGGCCCTAGGCTTCCCAAGGGGTAGCCCTAGGGTAGCCCTAGGGGTGGGCCCCAGGGGTAGCCCCAGGGTAGCCCTAGGGGTAGGCCCTAGGGGTAACCCTTTATTGCGGATTACAATATGATTCCTTTGGTCGGGCGACCGCGGCCCCGGCGCCGCAGACCCCCCCTCGCAGACCCCCCCTCTGGGACCCCCCCTCGCTGACCCCCCCCTCGCAGACCCCCCCTCACAGACCCCCCCTCTGGGACCCCCCCTCGCTGACCCCCCCATCGCTGACCCCCCCTCGCAGATCCCCCCTCGCAGACCCCACCTCTGGGACCCCCCCTCGCTGACCCCCCCTCTGGGACCCCCCTCACAGACCCCACCTCTCGCTGACCCCCCCTCGGGACCCCCCCTCGCTGACCCCCCCTCGCAGACCCCCCCTCGCAGACCCCCCCTCTGGGACCCCCCCTCGCTGACCCCCCCTCTGGGACCCCCCTCACAGACCCCCCCTCGCTGACCCCCCCTCGCAGACCCCCCCTCGCTGACCCCCCCTCGCTGACCCCCCCTCGCTGACCCCCCCCTCGCTGACCCCCCCTCTGGGACCCCCCCTCGCTGACCCCCCCTCGCCCCCCCTGACCCCCCCTCACAACCCCCCCTCGCAGGACCCCCCTCGCAGACCCCCCCTCTGGGACGCCCCCTCGCAGACCCCCCCTCTGGGACCCCCCCTTCACAGACCCCCCCTCGCAGACCCCCCCTCGCTGACCCCCCCTCGCTGAGACCCCCCCTCTGGATCGGATTACATGTTGATTCCCCTTGGTAGCGGATTACAACTTGATGCCTTTAGTCGGGCGGGCGGGCGGGACATTAAAGGCATTGATTGCTTGCTTGTGTGGTGGATTACCAATTGCTTCCCGTTGGTACCGGATTACGAGTAGATTCCATTTGTGGCGGATTACAAGCTGATTCCTTTTGTCGGGCGGGCGGGCGGGACATTGAAGGCATTGACTGCTTGTGTGGCGGATGGCAAACTGATTCTTATTGTGGCAGATTACACATTGATTCCTTCTGTCTGGCGGGCGGGCGGGACATTAAAGGCAATGATTGCTTGTTTGGTGAATTGCGAATGGATTCCCTTTGGCAGCGGATTTTAAGCTTATTCCTTTGGTCGGGCGCCTTTTGCCTGGCGGGCGGGCGGGACATTGAAGGCAATAATTGCTTGTGTGGTGAATTACAAATGGATTCCCTTTGGCAGCGGATTGCAAACTTATTCCTTTGGTCGGGCGGGCGGGCGGGACATTAAATGCATTGATTGCTTTCGTGGCGGATTACAAAGTGATTCCATTTGGCAGCGGATTGCAAGTTGATTACTATTATGGCGGATTACAAGCTGATTCCTTTTGTCGGGCGGGCGGGCGGGACATTAAAGGCATTGCTTGCTTGTGTGGCGGATTACACATACTGAAGGCCCTAGGCTTCCCAAGGATAGGCCCTACTGGACACCCTAGGGTAGCCCTAGGGTACCCCTAGGGGTAGGCCCCAGAGGTAGCCCTAGGGTAGCCCTAGGGGTAGGCCCCAGAGGTAGCCCTAGGGGTAGGCCCTAGGGGTAGCCCTAGGGTAGCCCTAGGGGTAGGCCCTAGGGGTAGCCCCAGGGTAGCCCTAGGGGTAGGCCCTAGGGTAGCCCTAGGGTAGCCCTAGGGGTAGGCCTAGGGTAGCCCTAGGGGTAGGCCCTAGGGGTAGCCCCAGGGTAGCCCTAGGGGTAGGCCCTAGGGTAGCCCTAGGGTAGCCCTAGGGGTAGGCCCTAGGGTAGCCCTAGGGTAGCACTAGGGGTAGGCCCTAGGGGTAGCCCTAGGGTAGCCCTTCCTTGGGTGATCTATAAGCCCAAGAGGCCTCCTCCAGGACGTCCCGAAGAGGTCAAAACAATTGTTTTTGTTTTCAAAGTTTTCGAAGGATTTTGGCTGATGCTCCTTTTCGGCCTCCCGACGGCCCAAGACGGCCCAATAGCTCATCAAGATCGCCCCAAGAGTGCCCAAGAAGCCTCCATCCAAGATGGCCCCAGGACGATCCAAGAGGCTCCCAAGATAGCCCAAAGATGGCCCAAAAACAGCCCATGAGGCCTCCAAGGCGCCAAGAGAGCCCAAGAAGGTTCCCAAATGTCTCCAAGACGGCCCAAGATGCACCCAAGACTGCCCAAGATGGTCACGTTGGCCCAATATGGCCTCCAAGATGGCCTCCAAGTCCGCCCAAGATGGTTCAAGATATCCCCAAGACGGCCCAAGAGAGTCCAAGATGCTTTCAAGTTCGCCTAAGAAACCTCCAAGACGGCCCAAGATGGCTCCAACATTGCCCTAAGACTGCCCAAGAAAGCCCCAAGAGCTCTTCAAGAGCTCCATCAGGAAGACCCGAAAGGGCGATTTTCATTGATTTCCCATTGGTGTTTGAAGGGTGTTGGAATGTTCGTCTGTTCAGCTCTCCGACGGCCGAAGGCAGCCCAAGAGGCCTCCAACATCGCCCCAAGAGCGCACAAGAGGCCTCCAAGATGGCCCCATGACAGCCCAAGAGACCCCTCAAGACCCCAAGACGGCCCCTAAGGTTCCCAAGACGCCCAAGATGGCATCCAAGACGGACAAGATGGCTTCCAAGATGCCTCCAAGACGGCCAAGAAGGCCTCCAAGACGGCGAGCATGGCCCCAAGATGCACCCAAGACGGCCCCAAATGGCTTGAACGTAGCCCTCGACTGCCCAAACTGCCCGCCAGAGGCCTCCAAGACCGCCCAAGAGCCCTCCAAGACGTCCTCCAGGAAACCCGAAAGCTCAGAAACCACCTGGTCCGATAGCTCGCCCGACTCCGTGTTCCCCGAAAGCTTTCGAAACCCACTCGGGGAACGCGTGGTCCGATAGCTTGGCCAAGCTCAAACCCAACTGTTGGCCACGCAGGTGCTTCCAAAAAGGCAGGGGGCGGCGGTTTTTCGCCGTAGGCGTCTTCGAGAAGGGCAACGTCTCAGTATGCGCTGATGACTCCTATCTGCCCCGCATGGTGTTCCCAGATGCGCAAAGGCAGCACCGAGACGCACCGACGCCACTCTGAGATGTCTCAGTCTGATAGAGAGAGGGCCACCAGCAGGGGGCGAAGCCCTTACGGATAACTCTTGCAGCTACACCTCTGCGCTAGGCTAGACGCCCCCCCTCCCCCAAACCCCTCTTTCCATTCCCTTTTTCCTCCTCATTCTCATGTTGCTCCCCATCCTCCAGATCACCGTCGCCATGGTCGCCACACTCCGCGCCCAGGGGTCACCACTGCCAGCCTGGTCGTGCTCTTCCTCCTCCTCCTCCTCCTCCTCGCCCCTCCCCCTACCTCACGTTCTCCCTCTTCCCCCCTCGCGCTGTCCTCCTTTTCCTCCTCCGCCGCCTCCTCCTCCTCCTGCTCCTCCCCTCCCTCCTCCTCCTCCTCCTCCTCCTCCTCCTCCACCTCCTCCTCTCCTCCTCCTCCTCCTCCCCCCTCCTCCTCCTCCTCCTCCTCCTCCTCCTCCTCCTCCTCCTCCTCCTCTCCTCCTCCCTCCTCCTCCTCCTCCCTCCTCCTCCCCCTCCTCCTCCCCTCCTCCTCCTCCTCCTCCTCCTCCTCCTCCTCCTCCTCCTCCTCCTCCTCTCCTCCTCCTCCTCCTCCTCCTCCTCCTCCTCCTCCTCCTCCTCCTCCTCCTCCCCCTCGTCTTCCTCCTCCTCCTCCTCCTCCTCCTCCTCCTCCTCCTCCTCCTCCTCCTCCTCCTCCTCCTCCTCCTCACCTCCTCCTCCTCCTCCTCCTCCTCCTCCTCCTCCTCCTCCTCCTCCTCCTCCTCCTCCTCCTCCTCCTCCTCCTCCTCCTCCTCCTCCTCCTTCCTCCTCCTCCTCCTCCTCCTCATCCTCCTCCTCCTCCTCCCTCCTCCTCCTCCTCCTCCTCCTCCCCTCCTCCACCTCCTCCCTCCCTCCTTCCCTCCTCCTCCTCCTCCCTCCTCCTCCCTCCTCCCTCCTCCTCCCTCCTAGCTCAAGCATCCGACCGACGACGGAGTTTCGCTGGATGAGCCCCAGGTCCCCTCCTCAGCCACCCGGGCGAAGTGGGCGTCTCATTTCGGCTTGGCTGGGGATGAGGCCAGGCCTCCATCTCGACTTGGGCCGTTTTCGGGCCGTAGGGTCCCTTCTGCGTTGAGCCTTGCCACGGTGCTCAAGGCCTTCGGTTTTTCGTCCCGCGCCTCCGCAGAGGAGCTCGGGAAAAGGGCCGTTCTAGGGCTCTAAGGGGTTGGGGGCCAGCTTACATTACACCCTCCAGCTCCCTACGTTGCATGCTGCCGATGAAGAGGGAAAGCGCAGACTCCGTGACAGCCATCACGGGCGAGTTCGGGGGGTGGGGTGCCCTGTCGGCTGGGCCCCGGACCGTGGGGATGGAACCCTCGGCGGGGTTTAAAAGGTCTCCTCTGATGGGCACCCCACCCCATTTTTCCCCTCTCTCCCCCTGGACCTCCCTCTATGGGCGTTGAACCTCCTCTTACTCCTCCTGTTCCTGTTCCTGTTCCTGTTCCTGTTCCTGTTCCTCCTCCTCCTCCTCCTCTTCCTCCTCCTCCTCCTCCCCTCTCCTCCCCCGCCCCCCCCAAGAAACAACGCCTTCCGCCGCTGGCGACCTCCCGCGCGGGCGAGCGCTGCCGCGGCCGCTTGGGTGCCGGCGCGTCCAGCTCGTCGCCTGCGCTCCGCTGCCCTCCCTCGGCTCCCTTTTTCGTCCTCGCCCCCGTCGCCGTCGTCGTCGTCGTCCTCCCCCTTCTCCTGTTGCTCCTCCTCGTCCACTCCTGGCTGCTCAAGTCTTTGCGTTGTGCGGACAAGACTTGGCTGGGACCGAGACGTCCAGCTTCTCAAGCTCTCCCTCCTCCCAGACCTGCCGCTCCCCCTCCCGCCCTTCGTACTCTCCGCCTTATCCCGCTCCACCCCATCCCGTCGCTTCTTCTCCTCCCTCCTCCACCTGCTGCCACCTCTCTCCCCCTTCTTCCTTCTCTCCCTCCCCGTCCTCCCCCTCCCCCCTACCCTCCCCCTCCCCCTCGCGCGTTTCCTGCAGCCTCCCCATTCGCCGATTCCTCCCACTCCTCTTCTCGCTCCCCCACTCCGCCCAGTCCTTCCTCCTCGTGTTCCTCCTGCTCCTCCTCTTCTTCCTTCGCTCCTCATACCAGCAGCGGCACCAATCAAGTGAGCTCCCTGTTTCCCGACCCGTTCCTGTTGTTCGTGCTCGTGCTCATGCTACTCCTCCGCCTGCTCGCTCTCCTCCCTCCTCCTGCTCCCCCCACCCTCCTCCCCCCTTCTCCTCGTCATCGCTCCTACCTCCCCTGATTCTCCTCTTCCTCCTCTGTCCGTTCCTCCCTCCATCCCTCCTCGTCGACCTCGCCTCACCCCTCTCGTCGTCTCTCTCACCTCCTTGCTACGCACGGCCTCGTTTGTTGTCGATGCGCCCATGTAGGTATACAGGTTCTTGTGAAAGACTGGGTGCTTAAACTGGCGGGCGACTGCGCCAAGATTTGCCTCTGGAGAGAGGCAGACACGGCTGAATGGCACACGTGCAGGCCTTCACAACGCGGCTCTCCAGCCTTGTCAGTATGTTGTGATTTTGTCCCTCCTGCTCCTTCTCCTCCTCCTCCTGCTCCTGCTCCTGCTCCTGCTCCTGCTCCTGCTCCTGCTCCTCCTCTTCCTCCTCCTCCTCCTCCTCCTCCTCCTCCTCCTCCAGAGTAAGGCAAAAGCGGCGTAGACATGATCTTTCGAAATCTTCCCAAGCGCGCGGAGCACACCAGGGGCGGCGCTGGGGGCGCCGTCCAAGGGTCCAGCGCCGATTCGAGACATTCCGTACCGACCTCCGAAAATTTATCTTGATGCAATTGTTGGCGACGCGCGCACGGGGGTTGGTGGTAGGGGGGAAGGGCTGCTTGCTAGAGCACGCCGGCCCTACATCTGCAGACAAGGACAGCGCTTTCCAAGAAGCAGGGGGGCTTCCAAGAAGCCTTCCCCCTTCCCCCTGCCCTTCTCTGCGCGTGGCCGAGACTTGGTTCTGCTCGCCTCTTCCTCCCCCTGCTCCTGCCCCCCCCTGCCGTCGCTCCTCTGCTCTCCTTTGCTCCTCCCGTCTCCCGCCCCCCTCCCAGACATTTGGACAGTCATGAAGATAATCCGCCGTTCAAGCGCAGCTGAGATCAAGAAGAACAACACAGAGGGAAGGGAAGTTCTGCTGCTGCGTCCTCCCCACTCCTCGCACCTTCTTCTCCTCTTCCTCCTCCTCCTTCTTCCCCTTCACCCTTCCTCCTCCTGCTCTCTCCTCCTTTCAAGTGGTTTTAAACTGTGGCTCTCGCCTTAGTGCCGCGCACATTCGTTTTACAACAATTGCCAGAGCTTCACAGATTGAGGGCGGGCCGTTTTCAATATGTGGCCCTCGCCTTAGCGCCGCGCGCATTCGTTCTAAAGTTTGCAAGGGCTTCAAGGATTGAGGGCGGGCGGTTTTCAAAATGTTGCTCTCGCTGCAGCGCCGCGCACATTCTTTTGAAAAATTGCCAGATTTTCAGAGATTGAGGGCGGGTCGTTATCAAAATGTGGCTCTCGCTTCAGCGCCGCGCACATTCGTTTTGAACATTTGCCAGATGCTCACATATTGAGGGCGGGTGGTTTTCAAAATGTTGCTCTCGCCGAAATGCCGCGTACGTTCGCTTCCATATCCGCAAGAGCTTCACGGATTCAGGGCGGTTCCCTTTCCAAGGGTGGCTCTCGCATCAGAGCCGCGCGCACATTCGTCTTAGAAGTTTATTTAAGTTTCACGGGTTCCCATGAGCAACGTACCAGAAACGGCGTGTTGGAAAGATTCAGGACAGTGAGGGTGCAATAGTTTCGTTGATTCGCGGTGCTGCAGTCCCAATACTGGAAATCTGGCGCGATTCAAGATCGTCAAGACACAGCAGTCATGATTGATCCGTGGCGTAGGGATTCCGAGAACAATGTTCTGGCATGGTCCAATGTTGTCTTCCAACGAGGCAATTCCCGCAATGGAGATGAACCAGTGTAGGGGCCTGCGAAGACGGAGCTGGGAGGGAGGGTTTTTATGCCAACATCGTTGACGGCTCTTGGGTTTACAGTGGACCTCCTCATCCTCCTCTTCATACTTTCTGGCCCTCCTCTCCTCCTCCTCCTCCTCCTCCTCCTCCTCCTCCTCCTCCCCTCCCTCCTCCTCCCTCCCTACCTCCCTCCCTCCCTCCCTCCCACCCTCCCTTCCCTCCTCCCTCCCTCCTCGCTCCTCCCACCCTCCTCCTGCTCCTCCTCCTCCTCCACCCCCTCTCCCCCCCCATCCTCGCTCCTCCTCCTTCTCCTCCTCCTCCTCCTCCTCCTCCTACTCCACCCTTCGCTCTCCTCCTCCTCTCTCCTCCGCCTCCTCCTCCTCCTCCTCACCTGCTCCTGCTCCTGCTCCTCCCTCCTCCTCCTGCTCCTCCAGCCCTCTGCTCCTCCTGCTCCTCCTGCTCCTCCTGCTCCTCCTCCTCCTCCTCTCGCCCTCCTCCTCGCCCTCTCTCGCCTCCACGTCCCTCCTCCCCACTCCTCCCCTATCCTCCTCCTTCCCCTCCTCCTCCTTCCACCATCCTCCCCTACACTCCTCTCTCCTCCACCTCCTCCATCCTCCCCCTCCTCCCCCACCCCCCCTCCTCCACCTCTCCGCCTCCTCCTCTACCTCCTCCTCCTCCTCCTTCTCTTCCTCTTCCTCCTCTCCCTCCTCGCCCTCTGCGGCCCCCCCTGCCCGACCGTCGATCGGGAGGGTGAAGATCGCGTCCGTGGCATCCCCGCAGGCCCGCTCCTGCCCGGGCGGGCCCGCGCAGGCCTCTGCGTCCCTCCCGAACACCGAGCGTTGCTGCTGCTGCTGCGCCTCCTCCTCCTTCTTCTCCTCCTCCCTCCCTTCTCCTGCTCCCGTCCTGCTCCCTCCTCCCTTTTGCTCCTGCTCCTCCCTCTCCCCCTTCCCATGCTGCTGCTCCTCCTCTGCTCCTCCTGCTCCTCCTCCTCCTCCTCCTCCTCCTCCTCCTCCTCCTCTTCGTCCTCCTCCTCCTCCTCCTCCTCCTCATCCGCCCCGTCCTCGTCCTCGTCCTCGTCCTCCTCCCCCTTTTCCTTCTTCCTCCTCCTCCCCCCTCCCCCCTTCCTCCCTCCCTCCTTTTCTTCCTCCATCCTCTTTCCTACCTTTTCCTGCACCTCCTCCTCCTCCTCATCGTCCTCCTCCTCCTCCTAGTTCCTAGTCCTCCCCGTCCTACTCCTCCTTCTTCCCCTCTCCGCTCCTTTAGCGCGGGGGGGGGCGCCTCCCGCCCAGTCCCTCCTCGATGGCGGGGAGAAAGGTGGAAGAGGAAGGGCGAGGAAGTCAAGCAGGAGGGTGCGGGGGCGGATGATTGCGAGGACAAAAGGGATGATAAAGGAAATGGAATTGAGAAGGGTGGAGGAGAGGAGGGCTCGTGTCAACTTTCCATCTGTTGCAACAATCGGCCATACTGTCCAGTCACATTTTCCTAAATTGGAATTCGTGTATGTGTATATTTGTATGTTTCCATCTGTGTGTAAACATACATATATATATATATGTATATATATGTATATATACATATATGTGTATACACCCGTTTTTGTTTCTGGGGGTCGTGTCAATGAAACCTGCCTGATGGAGCGACGTGCGCTTGGCGGCGACAAGGCGCGACGGCTCCTGGGTGGCAATAGCGCCCCAGCCCCTGGGCCGAACGGGCGCGCGCCAGCGCTGCAGCAACCCTGAACCTCGAGAGAGTCGGCCTCGGATTCTGCGCGCCAATGTGCGTCGAGACGATACTTCGACGGCATGGTCTTCAAGCTGCTCCAGTAGTCCTGCTTGATGCACACCGCCTTCGCGGCCCAAGGCCGCGTGCGCGCCCCTCACCCGTCGACTCTCGACGGTCGGGCCTCCTCTTCCGTCTTCCGCGCGCCCCGCGCCCAGGGCGCCCCGTTGGTCTCGACCCTCGCGCCTGGCGCTGCCGGTTCAGAAAAGGCGTCGGGACGCCTCGTGGCAGTGGGCAAACGCCGCCGAGAACCCCGCGAGGCTGTCCGCGCCTCCTGAAAATACCTTCACGGCGGCGCGGCTGTCAATGCCCTCTGCAGCCGCCGAATTTGGCCGAGGGCCTCCAGGATCCGGCGTCTTTAAGATGAGGCCGCAGTACTTGTGATAGAGCACGAATGAAAACGTAGCAACAAACCAGGGCGATAATGACATCGGGTTCGGGTAAACCGATCGAACATATCCGAGATCAGGCGGCTCTGGAGATCTCGGGCGCCGCGGCCTTCTCAGAAAGTTTCAATGCGCTGTGAGAAAAAATATTGGACCCTCTGGAACGGATCAATGCTCGTCCTAGCCCCGCCCAAAAACTCTCGACCCCATCGTCGGCCGCGCTGTTCCGGGCCGGATCAATGCGCGAAGGGCCCCAAAAGCCGAAACAGGGCGAATGCCTCCGTCGGGGGGGGGCGAGCGCAAGGGGGGAAACGTCGAACCGGAATCGGCGATGCATCGCCGATAGATCGGCCATGGGCCCCCGACAGCAAATCCGCACCTTCCTGTGCCAAGTGGACTATCGGGCCCCTTTCGGCGATGGGCGATTTGGGGTCGGTGCGCTCCTCCCCGACCCCCCCCCCTTGCGCTGCCCCTGGTGCTCTTTTTTCCATGGCGCCCCCATTTCAAAAATTGCCCGGTTGATCCACTCCGGGGCCAGCTCTTCCCTCGCTCCGCGCGAGCCCGGCGTCGTCGGGCGGAGGCCGCGGTCGGCGCGCTCGGGCGGGGCCTACAGGGCCAGGCTCCAGCGCGCGCGCGGGCCGAGCGGCGCCGCCCAGAGGAAGAGGATCCCGTGGCTGCCCGCGGGCAGCATCTATCCCTCCAAGGCCTGGCTCGCCCCCGCCCCGAGGCTTCTGGTCCGCTGCCGCCCCGGGGGCCCCGGCCGCATCAGTTCCGCCGCTGCAGCTGTCGACGGAATTCAGGACGCGCCCTTGCGCGCGCGCTGCCCCCCGAAGAGAAGCAGCCAACCGCTCCGAAGAGCAACCGGCCACCGACGGCGGCCTGGCCCCGGCCGTCGTGAATTTGATGGCGCCGCGTGGGCACCAGCACTCCTATCTCCCATCGGCGCTCCTCCGAAAGTGCGCGGTGTGCGTGTGCGTGTGCCTGTGCGTGTGCGTGTGTGTGTGTGTGTGTGTGTGTGTGTGTGTGTGTGTGTGTGTGTGTGTGTGTGTGTGTGTGTGTGTGTGTGTGTGTGTGTGAGAGTGTGTCTGTGTGTGTGTGTGTGTGTGTGTGTGGGTGCGCGTGTGTGTGTGTGTGTGTGTGTGTGTGTGTGTGTGTAAGTTCGCCATTCGCACCTCCATCTGCTGCCCGCGCCTGAATGCCGCGTGCGTCCCGCGCCTCCATCTTCTGCCCGCTGGCCTAAAAAGTGCGCGTGTTGCGTTGTGTGGGCGCGGCCGCCGCTGGGCCCCCGACGCCTCGGCGGGCGCTTCTCCTGCCCCGCCGAGGCCCCCCTGACTGGCGCCCGAGGTGCTGGGCGCCCCGGCCCGTGGCTGCCCCTGGCGTCGCCGCCCGGGGGCGCCCGGAGACGGCATCTGGCGGCCCCCTGCTCCTGGACAGCCTGCAAGGCACGCGGCCGCTCGCCCAGGGGGGATGGGGCGGTGGTCTGGGGCGAATGGGGCCAGAGCCGAAGGCTGTGGAGAGCGCGCCCGCGACGCGAGCGAAAGACGGCGGCGGCGGGGGCGGCGGTCCTCGAGGTTTGGGAACGGGCGCGCGCTCCACTCCTCTACCTCCCCGCCGACTCCTTCCCTGCCCCCCCGGCGACACCGCCGGGCTCGGTCTCGGACGAGGCTACTTATATCTGGGTCATTTGCAATTTCTATACAATTCAAGTAGGACATGCGAGTTGGGGTCAGCTTCTTGGGATGACATTCCAAAGACAGGGCCCTCGGCTGCTGATTTCCCCAACGAACAGCGCCCTTTGCAAAGCCATAGAGGTCTTTAAATCGCAATAGTGCAACATCTGATGAGATTGATGAGCCCGCCCACTCCCAATGTCGATCCTCTGCTCCTTCGGCAATTTAGCAAGCAAGGCGCCCTAGGGGGTCAATCCAGCGCGCGGACTGGGGCGCCAACGCGCGAGCTCGGCCTGTGACGAGCTGCCGTAACAGCGCTGTCGCCCCGCGGAAGCGCGCGCCGCCGGGGGGGGGGCGCGGGGCAGGATTGGAACAAGGGGGGCCTGGAAGGGGGTTGGGGGGGAGGGGGGGGGGGGGGGGGGTAAGATGGGGTGGGATAGGACCGATCGCGAGGCGGAGTGACGAAACCTAGCCACCTGCGACGCGATTGAAAGACGGCGGCGGCGGGGGCGGGGGCGGCGGCCCTTGCAGTTGAGGCACGGGCGCGCGCGCGCGCCAACCCTCCACCTCCCCGCCGACCCCTTCCCCTGTCCCCCCGACGACGCCACTGGGCTCGGTCTCGGGCGAGACTACCTGGGCCGCTTGCCATCTTCTATGCGATTCAAATAGGACATGCGAGTTGGGGTCAGCTTCTTGGGATCACACTCCAATGGCAGGGCCCTGAGCTGCTGCCCCACCCCGACAAAAAAACACGCACTCTTTACAATGCCGCAGCGTTAAATCGCAATGGTGCAACATCTGATGAGATGGACGAGTCCACCCACTTCCAAGATGGA